TGACAGGGTCTCACCATTGCTCAGGCTGGTCTTGAACTCCTGAGTTTAAGGGATCTTCCTGCCTAGGCCTCCCAGAGTGCTAGGATTACAGGAATGAGTCACTGTGCCGAGTCACTGTGCCCAGTCCAGAACTATTCATGGTCGATCTGCAAATCTTCGAAATCTGGCTGGGGAATGGAGAGGTGGGAATGAAAGAGTTGGGTTTAATTGGGTCTGGGGGATGCAGATAATAGGCCTCGGAATACTCCTCCAACTCAAGGTGAGATGGCTGTAGGTGAGAACATCCTTTTAATAACAGCTCACCTGGCCCTAGGATTTCTGCCGTTCTGTCTATACTAATGGCCCCATGAGATCACTCAAGACAGGAGAAAAGCCTTCTCTAAGGGAAAGTAGAGAACTGAGCCCTGGATTCTTTAATGGCCCCAGGTGGGAAATCGTTTTCTTCTGGCCCATAAAGCAGCCGTCTGTTCTGTGTGTTTTATTACCAGTGTTCCCCTGTGGCCTGGGAGAAGCAGACCTAGGTGGATGTGTTGTGAGGGATTTATGCACAGACTCCAGGAGAATTCCTTAGAATGCCTTATTTCCCCCAGCACTCCAGCAAGCTGCAGCCTCCCCAAATCCATGTAGCCTGAGGGGAACACCGAGCCTGTAGTCAGGGGACAGCCGGCATCTCAGAAGAGAAGGCTGGACTGGAAACACATTGCAACCAGGGATAATCTTCATAGTCTTGGAGGCTAACATCCCCTAGGAAAGGAAGAGGGTTCAGGTCCAAGTCCGAGGGGCCTGCCCAACACGGAGCTCTGTGTCCAGGAGCAGGGAGAAGTTGGGGAGGCAGCCAGGAAGCAGCCATAGGGAGTCATCGGAGGAGTCTGGGGAGCAGCCCAGGTGTTATTTTTATAAGTGTGAGGAGTCTGTTGGGCATGTGTTTCCCTAATGGGGAATTTTAATTCTCCAATCAAGGCACCGTATCCTGCTGCTTCTCAGGAATTAATAAGGGAACCAAGGCTGGCACGGTGACTCACACCTGTAATCCTAGCACTCAGGGAGGTCAAGACCAGTGGATTGCTTGAGCTCAGGAGTTCAAAACCAGACTGAGCAAGAGTAAGACCCAGTCTCTAAAAGTAGCCAGTTGTTGTGATGGGTGCCTATTGTCCCAGCTACTTGGGAGGCTGAGGCAAGAGGATCTCTTGAGTCCCAGAGTTTGAGGCTGCTGTGAGCTATGATACCATGGCACTCTGCCAAGAGTGACAAAGTGGAAAAAAAAAGAGTGACAAAGTGAGACTCTCTCCACAAAAAAACAAAAATTTACTAAGCGAACTAGCCACGTTGTGTGCGAACGTGTCGGGCACACAAAGAGGGCCTCATTCCTATGGAAGAGACAGTAAGGTGGAACACCTAACCCTCTTCCTGTATCTGTGGTGCAAGATCAGTTCTCTAAGGCCTTTGAAATCCTATTCTGTAGATTCCATTGAATCCTAAGTTCAAAGTAGCCTCAACCAATCAACTCTGTTGCCATCTGTGGGACTGAGCTGATAACCTGCTCTGCCTGTGATTTCCCGAGTCTGTGATCCATGACTTCTGATCTCACACGTTCTGCCACTTGGAAAATTTTTTTCAAGTTCTTTTTTTTGAGACAGAGTCTTACTCTGTCGCCCTTGGTAGAGTGTCATGAAGTCACAGCTCACAGCAATCTCAAACTCTTGGGCTTAAGCGATTCTCTTGCCTTACCCTCCCAAGTAGCTGGGACTACAGGCGCCTGCCATGACACTTGGCTATTTTTTGTTGCTGCTGTCATTGTTGTTTAGCTGGCCCAGGCTGGGTTTGAACCCACCAGCCTCTGTGTATGTGGCCAGAGCCCTACCCACTGAGCTATGGGCGCTGCTCAAGTTCTTTTTATGTTTAAATAAACTTCTTATTTTTAAATGGTATTAGATTTGTAAAAAAATTAATAGTTTTAGATTTCTTTACAAATAATTTTAGATTTATAAAGATTGTAAATAGAGTTCCCACATATTTTGTCCTCATTTTCCCTCTTACTAGCATCTCATATTAATATTATATTTATTACAACTAATGAATAAATATCGATACATGATTATTAACTAAACTCCACACTTTACTCAGATTTTATTACTTTTCTCCCTAACGTCCTTTTATTTTCTAGGGACCCACCCAGGATCCCTTATTAAATTTAGTCCTTATGTCTCCTTAGGCTCTCAAGATGCTGCCGGTTTCCCACATTGTTCTTGTTTTGTTTTTTGAGACAGGATCTTGCTCTGTCACCAGGCTGGAGAACAGTGGTACAATCATGGCTCACTGTAGCCTTGAGCTCCAGGCTGAAGTGATCCTCCTGTCTCAGACTACAGAGTAGCTGGGACTACAGGTGTGTACCACCACAACCTGCTAATCTTTCTATTTTTTGTAGAGATGAAGGGTCAAACTATGTTTCCTAGGCTGTTCTCAAAGTCCTGGCCTCAAGTGATCCTCTTGCCTTGGCCTCCCAAAGTGCTGGGATTATAGGCGTGAGCCACTGTGCCAAGCCTGTTAAATAAATTCTGATGCCTTTTTGTTTTATTAATCCATCTATTGTTAGTTCATTCTCAGGGAACCTTCAGAGGGCAAAGGTGAAACTTTCCCTTGGCCCCTACCACACTCCAACTCAGTGTTTTTCAATCTTTTTATCTCACGGTACACTTGAACCTACAGTTAAACTCCCATGATACACTTAAATTATGTTGCTCAAAAAGAAAAACGAGTTAAAAATAAAAGAATATACTTGCTGTGCTTTGAACTTCTTTTGAAAATAATTTCTTCCATGGCACACCAGTGTGTGTGGCTTACTGATTGAAAATCACTGCTCTAACTTGAGGCCATTGCAAAATGAATGTTTGGTCCTTACTGGATGAGAATGGCCTTTCTCTGCTTTACGAATAACAAACATTTTGTCCTTGTCACAAATAAGTGTTTTCCCCTGTCTCATAGAAAGCCTTGTTGCCTCATACCCATCAAGGACTTGCCTGGGGTTCCCCAAGCCTTTTCTTGAAGCTATCCCTTAGAATGTTCTGGAATACAAGCCTGCTTGCAAATTATCCTGAGTTTCTTAAAATATGCACAGGTGAACAACCCACAGCTTTTCCAGGCAACGTGGCAGCTTCATTGCACATCCAGGGTTTTGAGTTGGTGATTCTCACCCTACTGTAGAATCATGTATAGACCATGTCAGCCTCCTACATATATCCCCAGCCCTCACCACGTCAGTGCACACCAACCTGACTTTTGATTTCCAGTGCTGGCGTTTCTTTATCTGAGAGATTTCTATGGCTTCTAGAGCCTTCTCTGCCCAGACTACAAGAAGCATAAAACTAATGACCCCTAGGAGCTCCCCTCAACCAAGGACTGATGGGAGATGGTATGTAAATATCTCAGCTCCCTTGGCCCTTGGTGGGATACTCTGAAGTATGTTCTATGTTGACACTCAGAGTTTCCCCAATAGGATTAAGCTCCAGTCTCCTCTAGTAGTACCTGGTGGATCATGCTCCATTTACCAGCTGCCTCCTCTCCACCATCTCCTTTTCCATCCCCCTTTAGTACTTTCTGGGATCTTCTTCAAAATAAAGTACTTGTATTCACTCCTTATTTCAGGGTCAGCTTCTGGGAAGCCCCAAAGTTAGACAGGTGATAATCATATCAGCCACTTACTTACCAGAATCTGGTTACCCCCCTGGGCACCCTCAGACTTTTGACATGAACTCATGTCACCCTCTCAGAAGCCACCTCCATTCGATAGGTGAGAACACTAAGGCTTAGAGCGGCCCTGCCCAGGTTCCCACAGCAGGTAGGTTGGAATTAAGACTGGCTTTTCTCACTATACCTGAGGCAACGCTCTTAAAAGCAGGAACTAGGGCTCAGTTCTTGTAGCTCAGCCGCTAGGGTGCCAGCCACATACACCGGAACCGGCGGGTTCAAACCCAGCCCAGGCCAGCTAAAACAACAATGACAACTAGAACAACAACAACAACAACAACAAAAAAAAAAAAACAAACAGCTGGGCATTGTGGCAGGTGCCTGTAGTCCCAGCTACTCGGGAATCTGGGCAAGAGAATCGCTTAAGCCTAAGAGTTTGAGGTTGCTGTGAGCTGTGACACCACAGCACTCTACCCATCGTGACACAGTGAGACTCTGTCTCAACAAAAGCAGGAACTGGGGTTTGTTGCCTCTGTTGCTCCCCAGGCTGAAGGGCCCAGTGCCTGGCAAACAGGAGGAGGCACCCAGCCAACAAATACTGAAGCGCACGGTGATGGCTAAATGAATCTTTCTATATGTATCACTTAATAGAGGCATTATAATAGCTCTAGAAATTGACTATTATCACATCATTATTTTACTATTTTTTTCGAGACAGAGTCTCACTTTGTTGCCCTTGGTAAAGTGCTGTGGCCTCATAGCTCACAGCAACCTCGAACTCAGTGGCTCAAGAGATCCTCTTGCCTCAGCCTCCCAAGAAGCTGGGACTACAGGCACCTGCCACAATGCCCGGTTATTTTTTAGAGACAGGGTCTCTATCTTGCTCAGGCTGGTCTCAAACTCCTGAGCTCAAGTGATCCATCCGCCTTGACCTCCCAAAGTGCTAGGATTACAGGCATGAGCCACCACACAGGGCCTATCATCATTATTTTATAGAAGAGGACCCCAAGGGGGAAAGTGACCTGCCCAAGAGCACATGGCCAGTACTGGATGAAGCCTGAGCCCTTCCCCAGCCTACCATAGGGATGGATGATGGTGGTGAACGAGTGAACAGAAGCAGAGGGGAGGGAGGAGGCAAAGCTGTGGCTTTTCCCACCACCAGCTGGGTGACAACACATTGTCCCAACTTGGAAAACATTTCTGTCACACACAGGGTAAATGGGTCTATTTCCTGTGAATTATCTGCTAGCCAGCAGCTTCAACCACCTGCTCATTAACACAATTAAAAAGTATCAAAGAAGCTTCAGACTCCTTTCTCCGGGAACCCAACTACATATCTTGGAAATGACTCTTTATTAAGTCTGATCAAAGGCTCATTGTTCAGTAATTAGAAATCATGACCTCTCCCTCCAGGCTTTCGGCTCATAAACAACCGTTGGATGAGGATTTTATTTGGATTGGACCAAAAACCTGGGCGGATCCATTTGGTCTTATTTTCCTGCTTCAATGGGGAAAGCAGCAGGAGGCTGTGTTTTTTCTCTGGGAGACTCACTGGCTCCCCTGCTTGTAGCAGACAAAGAGTGAGGGAAGGAGAAATGTTCAAGCCAGCCTCTGCTTGAGATAGGGCAAGGGCCTCAGAGACAAACATCCATGCCAGGTCCAGGGCGGCGTGTGTGCAGAATCCCTGGTCTCTCATTTAGGCTCCTAGAGGAGAAAGAGGAGAGTGGCCAACATCTAGCCTTGGAGATCACAGACGGGACTGACCATACAAAGACTCCTCTGGCCAGAAAAGGGTGGGCAGAGGAGGTTCGGCCAGAATACTGTGATTCCTTCATTACATCATTCGATAAATATTTGTTGAGGACCTACTAAGTGCCAGCACCCTGCTAGGCGCAAGGATCAGATGACAAATAAAAAAATACAATGCCTGATCTTAAAGATATCCCAGGCCAGTGGGGGATGCTGGTCCTTCCTAGAGGAGAAGGTGAGGTTCAGAGTCAGAGAGGGCAGGCGTGCTCCCGGGGAAGAGGAGGCAGGTGGTGGCAGAGGCCAGGCAGACCTTGCCTTCAGAGCTGAGAACAGAAATGTCCTCATCCTCTGAGAGAAACTCTGGAGAAACGCTGCAAATCTGGAAACGCAACGCGTCGATCTAACTCCCAGCCCCATCTTCCTTCTCGTCCTCAGACTCGCATGTACTTGACATTGGCACCCACGAACAGGAAGTTCTAGAAGAAACAGAATGGGATAGCATGGTAAACAGCATCCTCTACTTCAAAAAGCAGCATCTGCGATTTCAAGGGCGCCCACGTCTTGAGAAACGCAAGCTCTGACAGGTACCTAGGTCAGGGCATAAATCACCAATGTGCCTTGGTCCCCAAGGTCTCCATAAAGTGCAGCTTTTGCCAGATGCCGTCTCCAAGGCAGCGATTTATCTGTCATTTCCAAAGCTGCTGCTTCCTGGCCGGCCTCTCAATGTCCTTTAGATCACCTAAATTTTCTCTCCCTGGTGAGTAATGTAAAATCCTGAGCTGCTGGGGTTTCCCTGCTGCTCTTTTTACGTCTCCGGCACCCAGAGAGGCAGGAATTCTGAACTCAAGACCGAGTCTAATTCTTTCCCACAGTAATCCATCCAATGCCTCTGGTGGTCAAAGAAATGGATGGACAAAGTTGACCTCAAAATTCTAATAAATATGATAATATACAATAGGTTTCCCCCCCATCTCTCTCTTCTTCTTCTTTTCTTTTTTTTTTTTTTTAAGACAGAGTCTCACTCTGTTGCCCCAGACTAGAGTGCTGGGGTATCAGCCTAATTCACAGCAACCTCAAATTCCTGGGTTAAAGTGATGCTCCTGCCTCAGCCTCCCAAGTAGCTGGGACTGCAGGCACCTGCCATGACACTCAGCTAATTTTTCTATTTTTAGTACAGACAGATTATGGCGGGGGGTGGGTGGGGAGCCACCATGTCCAGCTAATGTACAATAAATTTGCTAATCACTTTCTATGTGCAAACGTTGAGCTGGAAGCTGTCCTACTTGGCCTCTAATCTTCTAAAAGCCCAATAAGGTTTGGGCTACAGTCCATTTTACAGAGGAGAAAACTGAGGCCAGAGACCAACTGAGTGAATTGTCACTCAGTCTTTGCTTTGAACAATGATCTGTCTGACTCCACTTGTAAACACTCAACAGTAGTTAAGTATTGTGTATCTCAGGGCCCCCAAAAGCTTTGGACCTTTGTTTCTTAAATATAACAGTTGATCAGCGTTCCAAAATCCCTCACCACCTTTGCCCTTCGTTCCTTTTAATAGCCATCATTTGAGGGATGTTGACAGTGTCCCAGGCATAACGCAGCATCTCCTGTTACTCATGAGTCTGCCAACCCAGGCATCCCGCCTGAAAAGCTAACTGAAACTTGCTGGGCAAAAAAGAACTGCAAAATTACTTGGTCAGAATAGTAGTAAGGATACTCAAAAATCAGACCTATTTCTTGGTGTTAACACAGTCAAGTAAATTATCATCCATCTGCTGGAGGGGCCAGTACATAGCTATTATTGTTGGGGGGAGGAAATTAGTTTGCAGCAAGGCAACAAGATTAAGCATGATGCTAAGTTAAACAAAAAAAAAAAAAAAAAAAAAAAAGAAGAAGAAGAAGAAAAGAACCAACAAGTGTGAGCACTAGTAATGCAACTTTACAAAACATAGAGCAACAAACAAAAAAAAAATGTTTTAAACTTCAAAAAAATGCACTAGAAGGAAGTTCACCAAAATTTAAACTGTGGCTGTGGCGGAGCAAAGGCTTTATGAATAATTTTTTCATGTAAATATGATGACAGTATTTATTTTAAATGAGGAGGGCATTCCAAAATAGAAGAAATTTAGAAGGACATTTTAGAACTTACAAATGGCTTCCAGAACCTGACCAACATGGGCTTGCAGTATTTTCAAAATGAGCTCATCTTGAGGTTCCCTCAGGTCCACCCAGGGGATGGAAGGCAGGGTTGGCACAGACGTGCCATTTCTGAAGGATATGCAGGTGACTTTGTGGCATACAGCGATGCCTGGGAGCATCCTGCCCCAGCCAGGCTTTCCCAGCTGCAGGGTTGGGCTGGGCTGGTTCCCACCCAAGACTTATGGCCTCCAAACCTGCCAAGCCAACCAGTACCCACTCCTCAAATCCTCAGAGCCCCCACCCCCCTGAACTACTGACCTTATAGATCTGGAGAACAAGGTCATAGAGCTGAACACGCTTTAGCAGAGGGAGGGGCAAGCCTATGATCAGTTTATCTGGAAGTTGAAGCATAATGTTGAGAAAGATTTGTTAATAAACAACAATTATAGAGAATTTTTGCTTACTGCCAATTCTATACATAGTATATTCCCATTTAATGATCACCAAAGACTATCAGGTAGGTGTAATTATTATTCCCATTTTACAGATAAGGAAACTGAGGAACCAAGTGACTTGTCCTAGGTCATGCGACTAGAAAGTGGCAGAAGTGGGATTCAAACCCAGAAATTAGAGTCCTGGAGGGGAATAAGGCAACCTCAATGATTCTACCTCACAGACAGGCAACCAACACTCCTAGAGAAAGGACTTTGGCCACAGTCACACAGGCCCCAGGAGAGCCTTGCTTCCTGACTCCAAGTCCAACTCTCTTTCCATCAAAGAGCAGTTATCTACTCTCGACTTGAAAAAATCCATAACGATTCTTACCGTTGACCTCGCGGTAGAGGTTGTTGATAAAGTAGTAGTTGAGGAATGCTTCTAACAGCTCCATCTGGTGGGAAACAGGAGAGGTTCATTATGACCACATGGGCCATCTTGCCCACCAGCAAACAGCCACACAGCCACCCTGGGGGTGCGGTGGGTTTGTATGTGTTGACATGGCAAAAGGCTTGAAAAAAGCACATTGCAGATGGATACCTACATCATGCTACTATTTTATTTTATTTGTTTATTATTATTTTTTTTCTTGAGACAGAGCCTCAAGCTGTCCCCCTGGTTAGAGTGCTGTGGCGTCGAAGCTCACAGCAACCTCCAATGCCTGAGGTTGCTCAAGCGAGTCTCCTGTCTCCACCTCCCAAGTAGTTGGGACCACAGGCGCCAGCCACAACACCTGGCCATTTTTTGGTTGCAGCAATCATTGTTGTTTTGGCAGGCCCGGGCTGGATTCAAACCTGCCACCTTAGGTGTATGTGGCTGGTGCCTTAGCCACTTGAGCCATAGGTGCCGAGCCATGCTACTATTTTATAAGAGAAAACTATTTAGAGATGTACATTTATATATACATATGCAAATGAATAGAACAATTTTAACAGGCTGCAAGCCCAATTATTTTTCCTCTAGGATAGCGGTTCTCAACCTGTGGGTCACGCGCAACTCCTTTGGACTATATTAAACATTCGCGGCCTTAGGAAGGTTAAGAACTACTGCTCTAGGAAGAACAGAAGGTTTGACTTCATCCTTAGTATGTAACTTTTTTGCAGTAAGAATGTTTTCCTAAACTATCTGTGTAATTTTTTAAAAGGTTAAGTAAAAATAAAATGGGCTCCCCTACAAAAATTAACACTCACTATATGCCAGACAGAGGGCTCAAGATTTGAATCTAAATTTTTTTTTTTTTTTTTTGAGACAGAGTCTCACTTTGTTGCCCTTGGTAGAGTGCCCTGGCATCACAGCTCACAGCAACCTCCAACTCCTGGGCTTAAGTGATTCTCTTGCCTCAGCCTCTTGAGTAGCTGGGACTATAGGTGCTTACCACAATGCCCGGCTATTTTTAAAGATGGGGGTCTTGCCCTTGATCAGGCTGGTCTCGAACCTGTGAGCTCAGGCAATCCACCCGTCTCAGCCTCCCAGAGTGCTAGGATTACAGGCATGAGCCACCATACCTGGCTGAATCTAAATTTGTCTGCATCTACAGTTCTTGCTTTTTATATTTCAGGTTCTGAAAACCCAATAGGATGAATTTTTGTGAAGTTTTACATTGGAATGTTTTGTTTTCTAGAATACTTTTTTCCATGCTGTACACAGATATAATACAAGTGCGTCATTATTCACTTCATCCTTTATTCCCTGGAAGGGGGCATCCCTGGGGTCCCTGTGGGCAGTGTCTCCCCCACAGTTTATGTGCTTGCTCCCACTTCATAAGCACTCAGGAAAAGTCTGGGAAGCAGGGCAGAGGAAGCCAGTGACAGGGGATGGTAAGAGAAAAGACAACTATTGCCAACTAAAGGCTATCTCCCTATTCTCTTTCCAGAAAGCTCTTCTTTATTGCTTCAGCCCACACTGATCTTCCCATTCTCTTTTCTCCTTTTGCGCTAGGCCATTTACTTCACTTTTTCCCTTCTTGTTGAAATCACCTCTTTGTTTCAATTTCTCTTATTTTTTTTTGCAATCTGTGGCTGGGGCTGGGTTTGAACCCGCCACCTCTGGCATAGGGGGCCAGTGCCTTACTCCTTTGAGCCACAGGCGCCGCCCTCAATTTCTCTTGTTTTAATAACAGCGTTCCTATCTTTGGATGTAGCTGAATGCAGACCCTGGCTTCAGGAATGTAGATGACATCCATGCTTGATGGATGGGTCTTGCTCAACATTTGGCCACAGGGATTGGCTTAAGAATGGGCACATGACTAAAATTAGTCCAATGAGAGCTAGCACAGGGGTTTTTTTGTTTGGGGTTTTTTTTTTTTTAATAAGACTATAGGAAACTCTGAAGTTTGCCACCAATCAGAACAGCCTCCTGAAGGTAGAAGAGAGAGGTGGACACTCTTGGTGCCCTAATTTGAGCACCTGGATATAGCTCTGCCTGAAACCTCCAGTCTTAGTTTTCTGGTTGCTTTTTGTTTTTTAGTTATATAATCCTATACATTCCTCCTCTTGGCTTAAGACAATTCAAGGTAGCTTTTTTGTTAAAAGCAGTTAAAAGAATTCTGTTCAATAAACGACTTAATTATATGTTGTCTTATATTAGGATCTAACTGCTCCTTGGTCCCATGTCTTATGCTCTTGAGAACTTCTGCACTTCCATAGGGCAGAGATCAGCTCTTTACCTCTTATGTTTCCTATTATAGGAGTCACAGCAATTGCTTCAGACACACCTTAAACTAAGATTCTAATCATGTCATAAATAAAAACAATAACTTACATTGAATCCTCCAACTTTGGATTCCTTCAGCTCCACTTGTACCCTATAATGAATCAGAGAAGATTCAGAGATGTGGGCATTGGACCCGTGGGAAGTCTTAAACAATGTAGGAATCGGCACACATTTAGGTGGCACTGGCTTTAGGAAGTGGGGGTGGGCGTGAGAGAGATGATTAACTAAAACCAATGATACACTGACACGGGGAAGACTGTCAGAGGGCAGGTGAGGCAGTGTAGAGATCTCACTAGTTATCATTTCAGGAAGTTAAAATAGCTGTGTCTGACATTCATAGATTAAGAAAAAGCAATATTAGTTCTTTAGAAATTTGAAATTTGTGTGGACGGGTCCAGTGAGGAAAAAGAATTGAGTCAACTGGGGTGAAATTTAAGCATCCTTTCCAAATGGGGGGGCCCCCACATGGACAGGAGGATCTCATCATGCCCCCACCCCTGGCTGTGGGGTGCAGACGCAACCCAGCTAAGCACCCCCTTGTGGGCAGGAGGCCAACTTACTTTCCTGGCTTCAGGACCCCACTGATCTTGCTGGTGTTGAAGGTCAATTCGATGAACACATTAGTGACCTAGAAATGCCCATAGAAGGAAATAGGTCTAAACGACAGAATTTATCACGTACAGGAAGGACAGCGAGGAGGACCAGCTGTCTCCTCTGAACAGTTAAAGCAGGACATTTGCCCACTACGCTCTAGATTCTCAGGAGGCTCATTGTAAGTGCTCAATAAATGTTTGAACTTGGACTTGAACATTCTTACTTCAAATTGCTGCCTGTAATAGCAGTTAAACTTTGAAAAGACTACCAAGAGAAGGTATAGAGTACCTGTCCCCGGTGAACTCTAAAATGGATCATTTTTAGCTATCTCAGGGTCAAGATTTCTAGGCCTCTAGGGCTCTAGAAATAATAACAATAATATTTTAATTTACAACATATTAATACCAAAAGCAATTTTAGTTAATGTAACAACAATATTAAATTACAGATATAGCATCTAGGAGGAATTGTCCTTCTAGAGATGTGACTTGTTGAGTCTCAGAAGTCAAGAAACAAGAGAGCAATGTTCTCCATCCAGTGAGCAAGGCCCTCAAAGGACCCAGAATCTCTTCTCTATTAGACAGGCTCCATCAAGAAAGAAAAATCCACTCTCAATATTTAATGCAGAGGGAATTTAATACAGGGAATAACACAAGTGATGAAACTGCTGAGAAGCCAGAAAAGGTAGGTGGGGCTACTCAGAGATTGGCGGAAGACTGCTTCCACCCCAGGACTAAAGGAACAGAGAGGAGTTGGGTTTACGGGAGCCACCACAGAGAGACACAGTCACTGCTGAAGCCTCTGCCCATGACAAAGAGAGAGTGGCTTCATCCTTCCTCCTGCCCTTCATTCTCCTGACAGTACCTTCCATAGGCGGTGGAAATGTAGCCTTCAGGGGATATAGCTCAGAGCAGAGCAAACAAGACCAAGAGTTCTATACCTGCCTCCTCCCACCCCCACAATAGCCCAGACTTATGTAGTGGGAGATAACTGCGTTAAACATGATTTTGCAAGCAGCTAAATAAGTATCTTTGTAGTAAACACTGTGAAGAAAGATAATGGGATCCTTCAAGAAAAAAAAATAGTACACTGTACCCCAGAAGTGCATTAATGTATACAGTTACTATTCAATAAAAAAAAAAAAAAAAAAAAAATAAAACAAAAAAAATGGCAAGAGGCATAAGGTAGGTGAGTCAGGTGGTGAGTGGAAAGGAAGTATGTAGGAAAAGGGAACAGCATTTGCAAACGCTCTGAACCTTACCACACTGAGCCGGAAAACAGATTCTCTGGCGGAGCTGGGCAGGATCACGAAGCCCTCAATCTCCATTTGGGGGGCCAAAGACAGATTTCCAGGGCTGAAGTTCAGGACTGGGGCAGAGATCACTGCTCCCTGGACCTCCATGTCCATGTTGGGGTACAGCCTGGCTAGCTGGGAACAGAATTAGGAGATCACATCAAGAGAAGAAAATATGCAGGTCTTGCTGGAGAGTCCTGAGGGAGTCAGATAAAATTGAGAAGGCTTTTGGTTGACTTTGTTTCCCACAGAATGTTCTGTGCCTCTTTCTGTGAACAGCATAACTGGACGTCTTTCTACATCGAACACACAGCGTCTGCCTGCATCTCTGTACATTGTATCATGGCTGCACTGTATTCTCTGTGCACAGGTGTAGCAACTGGCCCAACCCTACTGGGTATTAAGTTGTCTCCAAGGTTTTGCCATTAGAATAACCACACCCCTTTGGAATTATTTCCAGGGGAAAAAAAATGCTCCTAGAGGTGGCATTGCTGAGTCAAAGGGTAGTATCGCTTTTAAAGCTTTTGGCCAGCATGGCCAAATTCTCCTCCAGAAAGGTCAGGCCAAGATTTTCCCTCCCCACCCCTCCCTAGGCAAGGGGTGAAAGCTTTTGTTTTTCTATGCCCTCACCATATGCTGGTAACCATGATGCATGCTGAGGTCAGACACCAGAGGTTTTTGAAATATAACACAACTAGATTCCACCACTTCAAAAAATGCTAGAAAATTTCTGTTTAACTAGAGGTAGGTACAGAATTTAATTTGGAGCAAGAATATTCTTTTTGAGGGGAGGAATTGGCAGAAGAACAAGACTCCCATGACTTTTGGTTCCGTAAAAATCCACATCCTGTTCTAGAAGGAAGAAGCTTGGAAGGTTGAGGAGGAAAACTGGTGGACAGAGTTGCTCTTCTGCCAGGTTGATTATTCTGCAGGCAAGAAGCGGGAGGAGGAGTTTCCTCTTCCTGAGGGGGTGAGATGGGAAAGCATTGCTGGAGCCAGGGTGTGACCAAGGTGCTCCAAGGCTGGCTGGGACAACACGGCGGTGGCAGGGCCAGCTGAGAGTGGGGCTCAAGGGAGAGAAAGGGCTTGTAGGGGTCGTCTCATGGAAGGACATGACCCAGACACTACAGGAGTTATAGTTTAATTCTTTTCCCTACCGTTTCGATCCCCTTCAGCCTTCTGCAAGGCATGTTATATACTATCACCTATCTGAGCTGCATCTTGGGGGACTCAGAGGTTTGGGGAGAAGACTAGGGAATTTCTGTGGGATATATGAGAAGATGCACATGAAGAGGTTAGCCCAGCATGATGGCGCTCACCAGGTTACTCACTGCAACACCGAGGTTGCAAAAGATTAGGAACAACCTGTGTGTCTTTCCGTAGGGAACTGGTGAAATAAGGCACAGTAAATCCATACAACAGCAGACGGGACACCCGTGGGAAAAAGAGTGAGGCAGTTCTTTAGCTATCTATATAGAGTGATCTCTCAGATACAGTACGAGTGGGGAGAAGGTATAAAATGGTATATAATATGCCTCCATTTGTATAAAAATACATGGCACTTTGGGAGGCCAAGGTGGGAGGATTGCTTGAGGCCAGCCTGGGCAATATAATCTCTACCAAAAAATAAAAAAATAAAAATTAGCTGGGCATGGCGGTGGGCGCCTCTACTCCCAGCTACTCAGGAGGCTGAGGTGGGAGGACCTCTTGAAACTGGAGTTTGAAGTTATAGTGAGCTATGATAGTGCTGCTGCATTCCAGCCTGGGCTGTAACAGAGTGAGATCCTATCTCTTAAAAAACAAATAAAAACACCCAAAAAACAAAGACAAAAAAATGGAGAAAGAGGTACAACATTTGCTGTAGAAGTTGAGTATCCCTAATACGAATATCTGAAATCTGAAACAATATGAAATCCAAAACTCTTTTGGTCCCAAGCGTTTTGGATAAGAAATACACACTCTGGGGGCAGCGCCTGTGGCTCAAAAGAATAGGGCACTGGTTCCATATACTGGAGGTGGCGGCCCCAGCCAAAAAAAAACTGCAAAAGAAAAAAAAGAAAAAGAAATACACACTCTGTGTATACATGGAGTATCATCAGAAGGATGCACACAACTTATAGTAGTGGTAGGCTCAAGATGGGGACGGGGTAGGGCTCAAGGATGAATGGGGGACTTTCCATTCTATAACATCTTATGTCTTTTAAATGTTGAACCATGACAATTCTTTATCTATTAAAAAATAATTTTTATAAAGCACCAAAAATAAGCCCACCCCCTAGGAAACCCTGCGTAATTGTAACACGTCATGAATTAGGGTGCGCTGTATGCAACATGACAGCATTGCTTGGGATCCTTCAAAGCACCAATAAAAGATGGGACGCACTGTGGTCCCATGAGACATGGGCTCCGGCTTCTGTCATTTGGGGGAACTTTGTCTTCATTGAGGGTCTCATTCTTGCAGTTCTGACTCTGAGAGGAATGCAATGGTTTTTTTTTTTTGAGTCAGTCTCACTCTGTTGCCCTGGGTAGAGTGCCATGGCATCATCATAGCTCACAGCAACCTCAAACTCTTGGGCCCAAGCAATCCTCCTGCTTCAGCCTGCCTGCTGCAGCTGGGACTACAGGCACCCAGCACAATGCTTGGCTAGTTTTTCTATTTTTAGTAGAGATGGGATCTCACTTGTACTCAGGCTAGTCTCAACTGCTGAGCTCACCTGCCTGAGCTAGGAGTGCTAGGATTACGGGCATGGGCCACCACACGCTGCCTGAATGTAATGAACCTATATAGAAAGCTCTGAAATTCAGTGTGCTTATTCTGCATCCATGGAGGGCTGAGAGACTCCTTACCCGAGAAGTAAAGACCCGGAAGGACTTGGTGGTCAGCTGGAGGGGAGAGTCAGGTGGAATCTGCAGCGAAGAGACACAAAGTAATTTTAGAGTGCTCCCCCCAGAGCTGAAGAGAAACTGGGGAGCTGAGGGGAATGTTCAAGATTGTGGCTTCTCAGCTGCCTGGGTGACCTTAGCAGTGATGAGATGCATGTCCTGCATTCATCATGAGCAGAGTTCATGAGTCTTTGGGGTCCTGGCTGCGTTCTTTGGGTGGAGGTGATATGTAGACCCCACAGAGAAGGTCTGCAAGGCTGAGGTTTGCAGTCACACAGACCTAGGTTTGGGTCCTGGCTGTGTCACTGTGTGATCTCAGGCCAGTCCTTTAATTCCCCTGAGCCTCACCTTCCTCATCTATAAAGTGGGGATAACAATAGTTCCCACCTTCAGGCCATTCTGAGGGCTAAACGAGCATCTAGCACCGCCTGGCACGTGAATCCTCCATGAAACATAGCTGTTATCAACCCATCCACTGAAAAGGAGGCCCGTGCTACAGGTGGGTGGGTAAATCGAACATGATAACACCTGTGCAGGTGTGGGACCTCTTGTAAGGTCATTCCCTCCATCTATCGGATGGCTGGCACCCAATGTAAACTAGGGTAAGCCAGGCCATCCAAGTTGGACCACACTGTGTTTCTCCCACCATCCTGACATTGTTCATGAGAACTCTACTAAAGAAACCGGGGAAATATTAAAGATGTGATCCACTGTAAAATTCAGTCTCCCTTTCACAAACCCCCATTTGAAACAGTTGAGATAAGTGTTAGGAAGACTTAACCCCCCCCCTCCTTTTTTTTTTTTTTTTTACCATAAATCACTTAATCATATACCCTTTTCACTTAGGCTCAAGGGAGTTCCCAGACAGGTTTAAGATTTTAAAAAATTGATTTATGGGCCCAGTGTCTTCATAATCATGACTTTTCACTTGGTCTTTATTTTCTTATGTACCTTTATGCATTTATCAGTATATCCATTATTCAGCTTCATTCACTAAAATATTTTTAAATAAACCTCCATAAATCATCAAAGTGAAAGAATATATGAATTAGAATAATGAGTCTAGACTAGGAAAAAAAGCACAATATAGACAAGTAAGCTGCAAAGTCTGCCACGGTTGTTATAGGGGAGAAAAAACTTTGGGTTGGAGCTCCCTGGCAGCCAAAGCAAAAAGGGAGATTGTGCTAACATATTTTTGCTGACTTTGATTTTTTTCTTAGTTTATGACTTATTATTTTACAAGTGCTAATGGGAGTGGATAGGAAAGAAGTAAGGAAGGATGGGTTATGCTGTCACTTCAGAGCACTTTTTGCCACCATCCTCACCATGTCCTTTGTGATGAGGAAGCTCAGCTCCCCTGCCTCGTGATAAACCAGGCTGGCGGTATTGAAGATGTAATCCGAGATGGCAAAGTAGACCATTTTGTCGTGTTCCTTGGGAAGGCTCATGGCTGGAGCAACGAAGGCAACTGAGGCGGGGCCATTAAGTGGAAAAATTTCACCCTGGGGAAAGAAACAGGGTCCGATTGGACTTTTCAGTCTATCCCATGGCTGGACTTCTGAGCTAGGTAGTCACCAACTCTGCCTGGCGAAAGGCACTGGTTGGGGATGCTGCCTGAAACTCCACCATGAAATACATTTTCTTTTCCATCAAAGAGTTGTGTCTCCTAATGCAAAGCTCCCCAGAAGCTTTAGAATACACAGAGTAGCCACAGGAAGTACTGGCCGAGCCCTCTACAGCACCGAGGGCCAGCTCTGGTTGATTGATCCTTCATAAGGAGCAAGGCAGAGGGGGAAAGGGGAGTGTAGGGGAAATGTTTAATTCCTAAGGGCTGTGAGACGCCTGTGGGAAAATCCCAGCTCTGGGAACAGTTCCCAGCCCTCCACATCATCTTGCTCTCAACACAGAAGGAAGCTCTGGGGAGATGAGGACAGATCTGAAGTTAGAGGGACAGGTGGCTCCAGGAATGAGCTAACCCTGGGGGAATGGCTCACTGGGGTGGGGCCTACCTGGGCCCCTGCTCCCGGATACTTACCTTAAACAACACATCCAGCATCTGGGATGTGGCCTGAGGTGCATTCACTAAACTATAATCAATGCCAATGGAATTGTCAATCTCTACTGAGACTGTGAAGGAGAGACAGAGGAAGAATTAGGAGATGGGTGCAGCCTTTGGGTGATGGAGAAGGGGTGAGGGCTCTGCTTGATTTACACTTACTGTGACTTTCAGCAGAGGCCCTATCCCTCTGCCTAAAGACCCTTTCTACCTAGCACAGCTCTGGGGCAAAGAATTAATTCTGTAAGGAAGAGACTACATGGGTAGTCCCTTATTGGAACCTGGTGAGTTAACAATAGTGGGGGTGTTAAGCTCAGCCTAGGGCCTAAGCAGTTGTCAGGGGGATGCACACACATACACATATGCAGGCACACACCAGGAGGGGCTCAGGTCAGCCCTGGGTCTTCAAACCTCTAGTCACACCTAGAGCTTCATGCTGAACCAAGTAACTAGGAAGGCATCTCAGACACTCCCCTCCAAAGCCCTGGATGAACAAGCGTTCTATGTCCCATGTGTTGGGCCGGCTGTACTAGCCTTGACCTCAGGCAAAGGGGTGTCAATAGTAACCACCTGGGGCTTGGGGGCCAGGGTATCAGAGAACATCTCAGACAATTTGTCAGGGACTGTCCCTCCAAATTTAATGAGCCCAAGAGTTAGAGGTTGCTATGAGCTATGATGCCAGGGTGCTCTACCAAAGGTGGACCAAAGTGAAACTCTGTCTCAAAAAAAAACAACACAAAAGGGCGGTGCTTGTGGCTCAAAGGAGTAGAGCGCTGGCCCCATATACTGGAGGCGGCGGGTTCAAACCCAGCCTAGGCCAAAAAAGAAAAACCAAAACCAAAAACCAAAAACAAAACAACTGCAAAAAACAAAAACAAAAAACCACAAAACAGTAGAATGGACAACAAGGGGACAGCTCCATCATGGAATACCAGCAAGAAGGAATCAACTGCACTATACGTATGTATACAGGCATACAGATCCACCTCCTAACTTGTTATTGAACAAAGAAAGCCTTGGACTTTTGGAAAAAAGACTCAAAATACTGTCTGATTCCATTCCATTCAAAGCTAATCTTCACTGGTAGAAGCTAAGAAGTATATGAATGTATATTCACATATTAATATTCATATGCTTCTATAGATTTATAGTTGTATAAGGAAAGAAAATATTTGAAAAGAGACATGCCTCATAGCAGAGGTCACCTCTTGGGAGCAAAGTTGGAGAGAAAAAGGGCCCCCCTTTTTTTTTCGGAGACAGGGTCTCACTCTGTCACCCTGGCTAGAGTACAGTAGCACCATCGTAGTTCACTGCCACTTCCAGCACATTGGCCCAAGTGATCCTCCCTGCCTCAGCCTCTCAAGCAACTGGGATTACAGGTATCTCCACTCCTGGATAATTTTTGAATGTTTTTGTAGAGATAGATTTTGCTGTTTCTCAGGCTGGTCTCAAACTCCTGGCCTCAAGCCGTTGTCTCGCCTTGGCCTCCCAAAGTGCTAGGATTATAGGCATAAACCACCGTGCCCAGCCTGGGACTTTTAATTTTTACTTTTTCTACACTTTTGACTCATTTAATATTTTACAAGGTAATATATGCTCTTATAAAAATAATAGAAAGGGTCAGGGCACTCTACCTGGCAAAGTTTGGAGATAAGGCTGTAGGTCGGAGGTTACTGATTTCTGGATGATTTCACAAATCTGAAAATAAAATGGGAAGAGAAAGCCTGAGAGAGTTCCTCAGCTTTGGTCTGGCCCTGGGCTTGTCACTTTAGTCACATTGTTTCATGTTTGCTTGGGAATCACTGATTCTACAAATATTTGTAAGTGCTTATTACGTGCCAGGTACCAAGGAAATAGAAATGTTCAAAAAATATAGGCCTCCATGTGGGCCCCAATAGGGTCCGAAAGGATTTTTCAAAGTCTTTTCCAATGCTGGGAGGTAGGTATTCACTGATTGCCTGGAGACATTGCTTGAAACTCCACCATTAAAGATGTTTTCCTTTGTGTGGTCCTGGCCTCCAAGAATCTAGTTAAATACCTGAACTAGACAGTAACTAGACATTGTCATATAAATAAACATATAGGTGACGTAGATACTTCCTAATGGTTGTCACTTAACAGGTTGGCTGGATTGATCGATATTCCCTGTTCCCTCTGGTGCCCGTGGAAGACTGAAAGCTGGTGGGTGTGGTCTATGTGGAAGACTGAAAGCTGGTGGGTGTGGTCTACGTGGAAGACTGAAAGCCAGTGGGTGTGGTCTACGTGGAAGATTGTAAGCTGGTGGGTGTGGTCTACGTGGAAGACTGAAAGCCAGTGGGTGTGGTCTACGTGGAAGACTAAAAGCAGATGGGTGTGGTCTACTCACACATAATTGCTGCCACCAGGTGAGTTACCAGCTTCTCAAGAGAAGGAAATGAGCCTTTCCAATCCTGTTTGCTGTATTTGCTCTTATAATCACTGAAATTATTCAATATGTAAATCAATGCGATATAACTAAGAAAAGAGTCATTTTTACAAAAACCTAGGATAAATACTCTGAAAAGGCACGATGCTTTAAAGCCCTTCTCAATTTGGACAAAACAAAAATGAAAAACTTAGGAGGAAAAAAAAATCATAAAAATCTGGAAGGATTTTGCACTGGGTGGCTTTGTAGGTGTTTTCAAATTCTCCCTGTAGCTAAAGAAACCTGAGCTGGAACTTGTAGCAGACCAATGTTTATGCAAGAAAGACCAGAGGCAACGTCAACCAAGAAACTGTCTTCCAAGATTAGTTCTAGGCCCTACATCAAAAGACAAACACTGAATTGCATTTATTGTGTCTTAAAATATTTGGGTTCATATGTAAAAATGTGTGGGCTGACTTTCAATAGTTCTTCTTGTTAACCAGCTACCACCTATTGTGCAAGGAACTCTGTGTGTGTGTGTGTGTGTGTGTGTGTGTTCCCGCTCTTCCTTCACCACTTTCTCCTGTCCCGCACAAAGTCATTGCTATAGACACAGCTCCGGCTGGGTGTAGCATATCTTAGAAATGAGATTTTGGGGTGAAATGTTTGGTGGAATTGAAAACTAACATAAAACCTCTTTTGTTGCTTTTTTTAGCCAAAGATTGCAAAATTTGGAAATTTCACTTTATTTTTAAAAACAGGAAAATCTGGCCAAGAGTGGTTACCCACCCATGCAAGGGAAGTGCTCCTGAGCTTGCTGGGGGCCCCTGAAATTAGCTGCCTGGTCTCTGGTAGGTACCCATGTAATGGTCTGTGCAATGCAGGGCAATCTGGGGCAGTGGGCAGGGCTGAGCAGGGGGTGGGGCTGGAGTCTGTGTTTGGCTCCTGCCATTTGACCCTTGGCCAGGCACCTGACCATTTCTGTTAACTGAATGGACTTGGAGTCCAGACAACTGAGATTTGCTCCCACCTTTGCCCCACACAAGCTCCATGGCCTGGGGAAATGATTGATCCTCTCTCAGCCTTGGGCACAGGTATGTCCAAATCAGCTGCCATGGCCCTGTCCAGGGCTGGAGGTCAGTGGGTCTTCCATCTAGCCCTCACCTGGCTCAGTAAATGCCTGGCAGCTTGGACCTTCTTACCTTGCTTTCCAATACTCTTCGGAACTTGGACTCAATCTGGTTGTGGAAGAGATTCAGTAGCCACCTGGGGAGAGGAGCACAGTGGGCAGTTGGCTGTCTGCCACTGAACTTGGGGGCAGTACAGAAAGTCAGTCCCTGGCCCTTGGCCAGGCCAGGCTCCAAAGGGAGTCCTCCCCGCCCCATCCTGGCCCCTGCTGTGCCCCAGAATCCTGTGGGGGAGGTAAAGGCAGAATCTCAACACACCCATCCTCATTCTGTACCCTTGGCTTCCCAGCCACCTGCTACACCCCATCACCACAGTAGATATGGGCAGAGGCTTGAGAATCCACATTTTTCTAATCAAGGAAGCTGAGACTCAAAGAGATGAAATGACTGCCCACGACTTGTATATTTTTCACAAAGTTTCCGTTAGCCAAAAACTTTTGTTTTCCTCCAATAGCTAAATTTCATTTACCTGACAAAGGCCCCCTGAAGTTTATTTTTTTATGGAAATGATAAACCAATATTCCTGACTTGAATCTGCATCTGTTCATTTCAACATGGTCCCCACAGAACAATCATCATGTGTGCCTTCCACCTGGGTCCTTACAATTATCAAGGCCAGGTGGAAGGCTAGATGGGCCGGGGATTGTAACCAGGGGTCAAGCTGGCAGTGTCCCTATGGCAACGTACCCCAAACCTCCTGATATGTCCACGTCCACATCACGGATGCGGCCACTGCAGCTGGAGGTCGTAACTGTGGGCCTCCCTGAGGGCTCACTGCCCAGCTGGAGGTCCACTGAAATGGTGATGCCCTTGACACTCAGGTCAAAGGAGTCTTGTAGTTTCCTATAGGAGGTCAGAGGAGGCATGGTTGATTCATAGAACAGGGTCTGCCACAATTTGAGGGGAAAGAGTAAAGCTCACTTCTGACTCCAAACTAAATGGAGCTGAGCAAAGATTTAAGAACAGGAAATGAGGCCATGAGAGATCCAGAAGAAAGCTTAGATCCAGGTTTCATAGTCAGGGATGGGCAAAGCTGTTTCCAGGCAAGAGCCAAGTCTCATAGACCATAAAGGAAATAGTTGATAAACTTGCCAGCACAGAAAATTAAAACTTCAGGGGACAGAAAATGCCATCATGAAGAAAAACAACATAATTTCATCATGGGATACCCAAAGAGCTAACTTCCTTAATATATGGGCTAATTTCCTTATACATGGAACAATCCGATAAAAATTAGCAAGGAAAAGACAAAACAACCCAAAAGAAAAAAAATCTGAGATACAAATAGGAAGTGCAGTGGCAAATAAGCATATAAAAATTCTTAAAAATGGAAACAATGATGCCAGTTTTCACCTATCAGACTGGTAAAATGTTTGATGTTTTAATATCCAGTGCCAGTGAATATTTGAGTAAATGGAAGTCCCAGGCACTGTGATTGGGAGACCCATATAACCCTTCTGAAACACTAATTGGTGGGACTTACCTAATTTGAACACACACACACACACACTCACTCTTTGGCCCAGCAATTTGACTTCTAAAATTTTATCTTGTGGCTCTTCCTGCCAAGATATAGGAGGGGGTAGCTCACTGAAGCATCATGGGTAACAGGAAAAAAACGAAGAAACCATCTAAACATCCACCAGTAATGGGGGGTTGGATAAGTTGGCACCAATGCTATACAGTGCTTAAAAACAATGATAGAAGACGTGGTCTATCATATGATGAAATAGAACCCATTCCCCAGAGGGGAATGTAGGGACTAATGTGGGCTGTAACGTGGCTGAACCAGTGAGACCCTGTCTCTACTAAAAATCGAAAAACTTGAGCCCAAGAGTTTGAGGTTGCTGTGAATTATGATGATGCCATGGCACTCTACCCAGGGCAACAGCGTGAGACTCTATCTTAAAGAAAAAAAAAGTGTTATGCTAAGTGCAAGAGGCCAGACACGAAATGTCACATATCTGAGTGATTCCACTTACATGAAATCTCCAGACTAGGTAACTCCATAGAGATACAATGCAGATTGGTGGTTGGCTGGGGCTGAGGGCAGAGAAATGAGTGACCATTTAAGGGGTGTGGAGTTTTCTTTTGGAGTGACGAAAATGTTCTGCAACTAGATAGAGGTGGTGGTTGCAAAACACGGCGAATGATTGAATGCCACAGGATCCTATCCTTTAAATGGTCAATATTACATTATGTGAATTTCACCTCAATTAAAGAAATTACATTTCAAAAAGGTTAAGAATTACCACAAATTCAATGGCTTAAAAATGTTGGCCACCATGCTCAGTGGTTAGTGCGCCAGCCCTGCATACCAGGGGTGGCAAGTTCAAGCCTTGCCTGGGCCTGATTAAGAAAAATAATAATAATAAAAAAGAATGAGGTTAATCTTCATAAGCTTTTACAGAGATCTGTAAGGTACTTCAGTGACAAGCGCCAGGGCTGAAGAGTGTGGCCTGATTACTTTCACAAAAATAGAATGAATGCACTTATTAAAGTTCAAGGAGTAAGTTTAACAAAAAATAAAAAAATTAGAGTGACTGCACACATGCTGCAGACTTCAGTATTGGGCATCTTTCTAAGGTAGCACTGTCCAGTAGAAATAGAATGTGAGCCAAACAAAAATGACAACTACAACAAAAAAATAGCCAGGTGTTGTGGTGGGCGCCTGTAGTCCCAGCTACTGAGGCAAGAGAATCGCTTAAGCCTCAGAGTTTGAGGTTGCTGTAAGCTGTGACGCCACTGCTCTCTACCCAGAGCAACACAGTAAGATAGTTTCAAAAAAAAAAGAATAAAAGAGGAGATTAGGACTTAAGATTAGCACACAGAGGGTTTCCAGAGAGCAGAGGAAAGACCATGTGAGGACATGGCAAGAGGGAGGGCGTCTGAAAGCCGAGGAGGGAAGCCTCAGAGGATGCCAGACCTACTGACACGTTGATCTTGGCCCTCTACCTTCCAGAACTGTGAGAAAATATGTTTCTGCTTAAGCCGGCCAGTGTGTTATGGAAGCCTTAGCATCCATCCAAGTGCCTCTGAGGTCAGAGCCGTTCAGAGTGCAGAGTTAGTACCCTGGAAGCAGCCCTTGACCAAGGGCAAACAGGAAAAAGGGCAACATGGCAGAGCTGGGAAAGCCAAGGGCGTGTTCTCTGCTGTCCGTGGAGCTCCCCAGGTAGACTGCACTTTCCTTGCCCACCAGGCTGACGTCCTGCCCTGATGCCCCACGCCCCTGTGAATGTCTCACTTCCAGATCGAGTAGTTGCACTGGAATTCCTGACTTGGGGTCTGCTTCTGTGGGAAGCGAACCAAGGAGACACAGTATGTCGAATTTGCTTCACCCATGACCCCAGCAGGGAAGCAGGCCTGTCCCGCTTAGGATATGAGGAAGTGGAGACTCAAAGAGACAAAGGGACTCATCCCAGAGCCAGAACTCAAACCCCAGATCGCCTGTGGGCTTGGGCTCCACCTGTCCATCATGGGTAAGGTGACCAGATTTTAACATTGGTATAGAAGCGGGACGCCATTGACCCCGGGGAGGGGGGGGCGTCGCATTCTTAGTTAAAAATTTGGTTTATATGGAGCAACAAAAATTTTCATAGAATGCAAAAATAGTATTGTAATATATATATTTTTAATTTCAACATAAGTACAATTTACAAATATAATACATTTAAAAACATTATGTATAGGGTGGCACCTGTGGCTCAAAGGAGTAGGGCACCAGCCTCATATGCCAAAGGTGGCGGGTTCAAACCCAGACCTGGCCAAAAAAAAAAAAATTATGTATAGTATTATTTTATTCTTTGGTATATTTCTCATTTGAGTGAATTTTTTTAGTAGATTGCTGTTGTTGTTTAAAAGGAAATTTTTCACAAGAATTTGTTAATTTATATTTCACACATAAAATGGCTTTCAAAGTCTCAACACTTCATTGTGATTTTTCTGATGTCCACACTTTATTTACCGTAGAAAAAATGCTTTCAGGCGCATCATTAGTTCCTGGTAAGGATAGCACATATCCCACAATTTTTAGTGCATTATTGTATGGAATTTGGTTTGTTTCAAAATGATGAAATATTTCTAACCATTTGTTCTCTATTGTGATTTTTGCTGATGCCCAAGAGTTAACATTTTCCTTATCAATCTATTTTTAATAATGATACCTTGTAAGTTGTAAGTGTCACTTCCAAGGCTGGCGCTAGACTTTTTGCCACCACTATAAAATATAAATAATGCAAGTATTGTCTGCTAAATTCATGAAATAAATAAATAAATAATTTACCTAAATTATCTGAATAGCTGATTTGTTGATATCACTTGTTTAACGAGCACTAGCACGCAGTATGATGTGTATCGTCTGAGAGATAGTTACAAAATGTTTTTGTGGTTGCCAATGCCAAAAAATGCCATTGTTCATTAAGTCCAAACAATGGTGGTCGAATTCTAACAACTGATCAACAATGCGAACTTTGATAAGCAGTTCTCGATAATCTGTAATAACCAATCCCCCAGCCCCCAACCCCCAGGACTAGTAAGAAATGCAACAAACCCCATATACGTGTAAAAAGAACATCTCCTAAGCCTTTTAGCCTCAACCCCTGCCCCGCACAAGGGAGGAGAAGTTAAGATCTGGGAAGAAGCTGAAGAAGATAAGGGAAGGAAGGGAGGCAGGGGTGAGCCCTGGGCGAAAAGGGCTGAAGTTGGTTTAAGGCCCAAGCTGTTCTCAGAAATTTACCCAATACCCCTCATTTGATGATTTCTGAGTTAATGTATCTAAAGTTAGCATGTACCCCCACCCTGAACTGTGCAACCCCTTATGATGCTCCTCATCTTATGATGATGAAGTAATGTGTATCTTGTGATGTATGAATCAACATGTACCCTAACCTTGTGACCCCGCTCTAACTGCTATGATTGGCTTCTGTATTGTGCTAGCTTGCTGACCCGCAAAATAATGGTATAAAAAGACACTTCATCTAAAAGTAGAATATAAACATCTTAACACAATAACTAAAAGAATGGCATAAAGGCTAGATTAACCGGTTTGATGAAAATATTTCAAATTGTATATGAAAACACCACACTGTACCCCATGATTGCATTAATGTACACAGGTATCATTTAATAAAATAAATAAATAAATAAATAAAAATTAAAATTAAAAAAGACACTTCACCGGCCAGTTGGGTGCTAAATGCCTTGTGGTGATCCAGCCCACCTGCAGGTATTATAAATTTTATCAATTATTGCATCAAAGTGGGGTCCACCTTTTTATCTCCTCAGCTCTGTCCCATTTTAATTTCTCAACAATTATTTGTTAGTATTAAAGTTTAACATTATAAAATTAACAAAAATAATATAAAACTCGTATCCTGGCGAAATAGCCACATGGCAGTGTTGGGACCAGAATTGCCACTGAGGCTCAGCGCCTGTGGCTCAAGTGGCTAAGGCGCCAGCCACATACACCTAAGGTGTCGGGTTTGAATCCAGCCTGGGCCCACCAAAAAACAACAATGATGGCTGCAAAGAAAAAATAGCTGGGCGTGGTGGTGGGTGCCTGTGGTCCCAGCTACTTGGGAGGCTGAGGCAGGAGACTCGCTTGAGCCCAGGAGTTGGAGGTTGCTGTGAGCTGTGAT